AGAGCCCTAAAGGCCTGCTCCACTTCACCACAGGCTTTCTGGGACAGGCCTTGCAAGCCGCGGGCAGACGCTGGCCCAGGAGATGCAGGGAACACACGCTCCTCCTCTGTCCTTCATCTCCTCCTGGTCTACACCAAGCATTTTAGACTCAAAGCCTTTGGATCATCTCCAGCAACATTTATCCCAAGACTAGATTCCGTGCCAGGGCAAAGCAGATCTCCTGGTGGGTTCTGACAAAAGGCTGAGGTGCTTGGTATCCCGAAGTAAGATGCCACATGCAAAAAGGAAACTAACAGTGAGGGTCCTAAGCAGTCTTCTGCTCTAATTTCATTGTTCCTTCTTTGATCTGTACCCAGTGTTACCTCTAGCTATTACACAGCACAGGAGCTCAAGGGATCAGACTACAAATGAATCCAGGAAGATAAGGACAGGGAAGGGACGGAAAATGTTTTTCAGGACAAACTCCTGTTCTTGACAAAGCAGGCTGGCTCATTTGCTTTTCCTCTGAGAGACATATTTATGCAGGGGAAGAAAATGATACATTCCAACTCCTTCATGAGACTATAAACAAAATGAGGGGCTCTCTGTGCCTGGCTCTCAGCCATGGTGCTTCCTGTGCAGAGCTGTCTTCTGGCTGCAGCAGGGTTTTCTGCATCCCTTACAGCAAAGGGAAGGTAGAGGAAAGGCCACGATCTTTGTAAACTATGCTATGGATTTAAAACTACCCAAACTCAATCCATTAGCAATCATGGCATGGATAAGATCAGCTGTGAGGAAGAGACACCCACAAAAATACCCTAAAAATTACAATCTGTTTATATACACATGACTCCCGAGTCCTGAGAAAGCAGGCAGCTCCTTATCACTTCCTAAATTATTCAGTTTTGACAGAGACTGACCAGAAGATGCTAAGAGGTGAATGATACCACATTTTAAATAAACTATAAGAGTTTTAGCTTTGAAACTCTGGGAATAGCCTTAGTAAATGTAGTTTGGCAGGTTAGCGTTTCTTGTATCTGGACACAGGATCAGTCTGGCTTGTGTCTGGGCCTACAAAGGAATGGTAGAAGACTAGAAACTGAGGAAAACAGTGGCAGGATTATGGCAAGCACTGACATTTGGATTGTATGTGTGCATGCAATGGTCATGCAGTGACCTTCTCTGAGGTGCTCCTAAATCCACAGGTCGGATGGAAAGAGCAGATACGGGACATAGAGGAGCTCAACAAAACACAACACAAGCAATGAAATGAAGACTTCAGAAGCCAGAAGTGGACGGAGTGCCATGCTCACTCCAGAGGAATCAAGGTGGTAATCAGAGGGCCCCAGCACAGGGCTGTCTGTTGTGCAGGGAAGGCCAAATGTCTCGTGCAAGCCACTGTCTTCGTGGCCTGCTGAGTTAGGAGGACCTGAGGGAGTGGCCACACTGGGAAAGACTCACCAGGACAGCACCGGACCTAGACAGAGGCTTATATTTCCGCAAAGTCAAGGTTATCAATAAATGTCTGTGTTGTCCAAAATAGCAACCACGAGCCACACGGGGCTGCTGATCATTGGAAAGATGGCGTGTCTGAGATTGGCTGTTTAAGGGAAGCACAAACTAGACTTCAAAGATGCAGTGTAAAAAGAATCCATGCTGTCTCATCAACATTTTAAATTGTTAATTTAAAACTTATTTTAAATATTAACTAGATATTAAAGTAATAATTTATAATATTGGGGTTAAATAAAATGTTATTACAGTTTATGTCTCCTCTTTATGTTTTCAATTCCATGCTCAATGCTCACTATACCTCTGCTGGACAACGTTGCTTCAGGCTGCCGTTCAGCTCTAAGGCCCAAGAAGAAAGTCGTGTGCGGTTGACTGGGGCTGGGGTAATCAGTGCAGATGGACCTAGGTTCTGCACCTTGTCATCTACTAACTTCCCAGAGCACCCAGCACACTGCTTGTCTTCTCTCAGTCTGCGTGTCCTCATTTATAAAAGGGAATAATAATAGTCCTGCCCTCTCAGAGAGATTAAATTTAAAATACCCTCATCTAGAGATGGCTTGAGTTCTTAGGGTGAGGATTAAGTTGTACATTACATAGAGGAGGTCGACTTTTAAAAGTGAACAATTCTAATAAGCCAAGAGCTAATTCCAAAGAGAAATGGGGCATAGTCTTAAACAAATATCAAAACATCAAATCACACCACATTTAAAATATTCTTTACTTTTCTTGCTTTTTACCCTGGCTACTATAATATTAATATACTGTATTAATATTAATATATGTATTAATATAACAATATATATAAATATATTAAGCAGATGCAAAGCTCATAGTTATCTAAACGTAGATTAGCTCTGCTGTTCTCTGGGTCACTTCTCTCTGTCACTCAGCAATGCAACCTCACCATAACCACCTTTATTGTCCCCTGCAGAGACACAGTTATACTAGTGTTCTCCCAAAGTACAATCACATAGCTGGGCATGGTGGCACATGCCTATAATCCCAGCATTCTGAGAGGGTAAGGCAAGAGGTTCATAAATTCAAGCCCAGCCTGGACAACTGAACAATGTAGCAAGACACTGTCTCAGCGTTAAAAAATAGAAAAGGATTGGGGATGTAGCTTAGTGCAAAAGCCCCAGGTTCAATTTCTAGTACCCCTCCAACCAAATCACATGCGATCAGATAGTTTAATATGAGGTAGTTGCTGGATTTGGGCAGCATGGTAATGGAAAAGGAACAGGATGAGGTGTGCAGGGCCAGACATTCAGCCCTGGGGTGGCCACAGCCTAAGCCAAGGTCACACAAGCTCCCTAAAGGAGCCTTGGGAGATGGGTTTTGCATGTATATATACTACCTGGCTGCAGACTGGAAGGTGTCACACAAGTATTAACAATCAATATCACTTTAATCTCTTGGACTTTAAGATTGACCCACACTAGGATAAATGCTATTTTGCTCTGTAGTATAATGTGAATGGGCAAAAGGTAACAAAGGTGCCTTTTACACGTCATTTATTAGGACCTCAGTTTCCTCCTCTTCCTTATGCACTGTGAAGAGTATCACCAAAATAAAGGGTCTCAGAAAACTTGCTCAAGTCTTATCAAGATAAAATTGGAAAGAATCTCAGCCATCATTTCCAAGCAGAACACATTCTGTACAGCACATTCTGTACAACACAATGACTGTAAGTATGGGCCAGCATTTCTAATGAGAAAAGTCATTTCACAGTGAAGATCTTCTATTTGGTTTCTTTGGAAAAAAAAATACTCATCAATATGATTTTTGAAACCAGTAGTAGAGAATCCAGGTACTTAAAAAGACATTGAGAGGATTTTACCTAGCCATTATAGTATTTGTGCCATTAGTAGAACATACAGATACAACAGTGACTTTAAAATACAAGTCCCTAGACTTTCACATAAAGAAACAGTGCTTGTGAAAGTATTAGGGTAAACAAAGGCATCATATCCACCCGGGTCTAGCCATCTATGGTGACTGGAACTCACTTCCTCACACCTCTATCTGCTACTAATTTTAGCGGGAGCACTGGAGGAGTACTAAAATGTCTTTTTCTGCCACAGGTGAGCAGTCTTCATTCTGTTAGTTTTCACCATTCTCAAGTTTTCATCAGGTTTTGACAGTGTTGACTAATTGGAAAAAATAAGTTTGTTCAGCTGTTTATACTTTATTTCTTTTACTTTATCAAATAGTGTTCTCTTGGCTATGTATTTCAGCATATGGATAAAGCCGCTCTTAAACATAAGACTTCCAACCTAAGATGGTACCTCTCAGCTCGTAGGATACAGATTATTCTGTGACTGACTCAACCAAATGCTTCTGCTGAAATCAGATTAAGTAAAAATATGCACTAACATTCAAACTAGTAAGAAGGATCAATATTTATATGAATATGTAAAAGTCAAGGAGCAAAGAAGAAGGAAAAGAAGATACACCTCACTGAGTTATGGACACTGTGAGGACAGCCCTGTGAAGCAGAGGATAAAAGCACAAAGTAAACCATCAGCCTTGTATGTGCCAGGGAGGCAGCCAAGCATGCTCTCTGTAAGTTTGGAAATGGAAAACAATTCAGTGAGGGTGTGTATTGTCAGCATTCTGACAGGACAGATAAATACATCATTACTGTCTGATTCAAGTCATGTTCATCTTTTAAAATTTCCATTTTTTGATATTTTTAATTGTTTTGTAAGTTTTGAAGCTAAGTTCTACAGCTACCACCATTGTTCTATTATTGCCAGGACCATCAGCAACATGCCTAGAGGTTACATTAATCCCAAAACACAAGATGAAAACCCTTTACTTTAGTCTTGGGTAACTAACCACATTGCCAACCTCTATCAGTGCAGTGAGTGGAAAGCGAATAGAGATTGTGCCTGAGAGCTAAGAGTCCATGACTAAGAGTGAAAGTCACCACTATTCATTCCCAGCAATCATCCCAGGTGACAGTGTGGTTATGCCATTTGGGTACATCTTTAGGGAACACCGCTTTTCCCAAAGTGTATTATGAAAAATGCCAGAGAGTAGGTAGGTAGATAGATAGAAAAAAGAAAGAAAGAGAGGGACAGGGAGGGAGGGAGGGAGGGAGAAAGGAAGGAGATGAAGACAGACTTTGGGAAACACTGTCTCAGTTTCCTTCTTAAAGATTCACAAGGTGTATCAGCATATTAAAGCTTCTTGCAATTCAGGGATTATCTCTGCTTAACTCAGCACATCTGATCTAAGTTTATTTGATCATGTGAGCCTTCCCCATTACTACCCTCTACAATCTATGAACATCCCCCAGAACTAGTATTTCCAGAAAGACACTCTGGGAAACACTTTTTGACTAAAAGGGAAGAGAATGAATTGAGATGAATAACACCTTCTCCCGAAGTTTGGAAACCCTTTGGCTCTAGGTAGAGACCAGCAGGACAACAGAATGAGTGTTGGGAAAGGAAGGCTTAGAACTCAGAAGTGAAAGGCTGCCTGCTCACAGCTAATGCTCCACTTACTTCAGGAGGTTCCCGAGGTTGAAGAGCGCACGGCTGTGCTTTGGATGGAGCTGCAGGGCCCGCTGGTAGTAGCGCTTTGCCTCGGCCGTGTCTCTCATCAGCGTTCCCAGGTTATTCAGGGCACTCGCGTGGCGTGGGTACAACCTGTGGGATTGGAAGTGGTGAGCCACGGTAGTCCACAGCCAAATACAATGCTGAATTCCCCTCTCAGAACGGTCTCTGTCACATCTCAATGGTCAGCTGTTTCTATAGCTCAAGGAGAATCAATAGGAGCACATACTTGAGATGTAGACGTATAAATAACTCCCAAATAGAGCAAACATAAATAATAGTAAATCTACCAGGATTAAATTAATTTTTGTCCTTCAGGGCCTACAAATACTCTCAACTTCTGTGATAAATTCTTCTTTGCCTCAGTGGTGAGTTCCTTAGCAGAGGGGCGACAAAGACATTTTCCAATTACACAGCAGCGGCCACAGCTGAGACAGGATGATGTGTAACATCTCTCCACCAAAATAAAGTATCCCCAAAGTGGCTCTCCATCTTCCCTTTCTTGATTATTTCTTTTCTTTTTTCCCTTCATTTCTTTTTCATTTCCCTTCATCTACTACAATTTGGTTCCATCTGGCTGGATACAGTTTTTGAAATAAAAATTTGAAAACTTAACATACTTAAAAATAAAAAAATTAAATAATGCACAATGAAGTTAAAACTAGCATTTCTAATGGTCTAAAAGCAAGTATAAATGAATGTGGGATATATATCAGTAAGCAAATTTATGCTGATTAAGAAGGAAAGGGATCCATTCACTTCCTCACTTCAAAAGTGAACAGAACCTAAATCGGCATGGCTTGGTTGTTCCTGACACACTTGGAGAAGATATGTTTAGCAGTCCAGCATGGTGGTCCATTTCTGTCACCAGCAGACTGTCCTTGAGTGAGCCTGAGAAGCTGGCTGGCTCTGAATGCAGGCAAGCCAAGATAATACCCACGTAACAAAAATAAAAGCTGGACTTGTCACGCTTCTTGACAATCAAATGCCATGCTGGCCTCCCTGTTCTGACCTTGAAAGAAGGTCATTTTAATTTGGGGACAGAGTGGCTCTTATGCTGAAAGGCCAAAGAAGACAGGCTGCATTGCTTTTTATCTCTGCTCACCCACAGCTTCCTGTTTCTGTGACCCTGCCCCGCTCCCTCAAGGAGCAGAAGGAACTTCTCTGACAGAATGCTAGGAAGATGGTTTGGAAGGCTTCTCTGGACTAACAAGGGACAGAATCATTTCAGATTCGTCCTCTCACAGCCAGAAAGCCCCGTTCTATCCGCGGTGGCTTCGGAAGCTGTTAGGAGAAGGGTATTTACATGAAATCAGGCAAAAAAAAGCACGTGGAGCAGCCTGTGTGCTGTGTTCACCCCTCTCTGGGCAACTTGAGCATTGCTCATGGGAGCCCCTGAACAACCAGCTTCAGAGTTTCTGGGGACCAATGCTGGGCCACCCATCAGAGATGGAACCAGAGAAGACCAGGGCTACCATGAAGGGGGAAGGATGCTATTGTTCCTGCCCATCATGCCATGCTCAGAGGAAGGTTCTGGGAACCCTGGGATCTGTGGAAATCAGAGCAGAGTGAAACATATCCAGGACTCAAATTCTTCCAGAGAAGCTCTTTTCTAATGGTGAGCATAGGTGTCTGACTGGGAGTGGAATGTTCATGCTTCTCAGCAGCTCTAGGACCAGCGGTGATAGGAAACATGTCCAGGACCGGTGCTTTCCTTTATCTCAGAAGGACTTTTTCTCTTTTCCACATTACCTAGGCTCTAGAGTCCACAAAATAACCATGGAAGGTGCAATGCAAAGCATGGAGGACAGGCTGACTGTACAGGAGCCCCTACAGGTGGCACCTACACCCCGAAAGAAGGTGCTGCCTGCTCTGCGAGTGTCCGGTCCTCACCAGCTGCTGGTCAGCCCAGCTCCACAGGCTCTGTGCTCACTCAGGACTCTGCTGTATTTAAATGAGCACTCATGGACTTCAGAGCTCACTGACTACAGAAACGACCTCCTGGTCAGAAACAATGTGAGTCCACGAACACTCAGCATCAAGAACAAAGTGGGGAGGCGCGAATGGCAGCATTGTGAGAGAAGAGGCCTTGGCAGGGCATGTGCAGTGAGGGTGGCCTGCAGCTGCTGGGGAGGCCCAGGAGGATAGGCAAGGCCCGCTGTCAGTGGACAGGCAGACACTCACCAGAGGTCCCCACACATCAGCAAGAGGCTGCAGGTGTGGGCAGAGATACACTGACTCGTCCACCAGCCACAGGCCTGCACCTGGAAAACGCATAGGTGTTGCTTGGTGATGGTAGTGAGGGTCTGGAGCAATGCTCTTATTGGCTTACCTTATCAAAATAGCTGCGGCATTATTTATGAAACTGTGCAGAATTTCATTGAAAGGATTCTTAACAATCAGGTCAGGGAAAATATCTTAAAAATTGATGCACAGGTAAACATTTTCTTAAAACATACTCTTCTACTATGTATTGCAGACCTATATGAGGGCAGAATTTATTTTGTGGTTTTACTTTTTAAATAAACTCAGGTTTGAATTAGCTTGGGTCTAATTCAACTCCAAGATCCCCAGGAGGCAAATTTTCTGTTGGAAAGACGAATAATTTAAGAATGCCTATGTCGTTATGTTGCTACTGTTAGAATAAACAAAGTCTTTCTTGCCTTACTTCTGCAGGTATGGTTTACAAAAGTCTGGTTAGTGATTACTGCCTTCCCCCCAAAAACCTCAAGAGAGTTCCCTGGAAAGAACCAGAGTGGTGATTCTTTTAGGCCTATTTTTTAAAAGACCAGTGTGAATCATCTCTGGATTTTCCTTCTCACAGTCTTAATCTTCATTTGTATTGTTTTTGGAGATTTATTTTATTTCAATGAGTTAAATTTTAAAAATTTATTTTGGAGAAACTGTGTTATTTTGTCAAAATAGTTCTAGGGGATGAGGAAGCTTATCTTTCCCCTCTCTGGAAAAGATTTACACAGATCGGGTTCTGATCTCCGTATCAGCTATTATGAACAGAAGAGAATTTTTTTCAAGTATTGGATAATTTATATTCTTGCTTATCATAACATCTGTTTGAGCATTTAAGGGTCTATGGTTTTGATCCAGTAGCATTTCCCTAAGCAGCATTAATAAAGCAGGTAATTGGGACATTATTCCCTGGCCCCCCAGGCCTAGCCATTTGATCACTAAAGAATGAACCCAAACAATCTAACAGGAACAGGGAGAGAGAGCTGCCTAATGGAAAGAGAATAAAAAGAAAGCAGGCCCCAAAGGACCTGGGATGTGTTAGGGGTACCTTACACTCAGAAGAGCTTTCTCATACATGGTCACATTTAACCCTCAAAATTAATTCCCTAAGTGCAACTACTGTACAACTTTATAGTCAAGTAAAGGGAGGCTCAAAAAACTAATGTTAGATTAATTTTAAAACAACATTTCAGAAACACATGTTCTTAAGTGTAAAGAAGTCAAATGGCTCCTCTAAATCTATTTATTTCCCAAATAATTCAGGAGTTTTTCAAACTTCAGCAAATAAATACATTGCTACAAATCAACATTTCCCCTTTGGAATAATTTCTCCTTTTTATTCCTCTTACCAATTCATTCAAACTATGATCATATAAGAATTAGTTCTCAGTGATAAAACTATATAAATAGTACTCAGGAAGTTTGGCTAGTGAGATTCTTATTCAATGGAAAAACTGTCTCCTGCCATGCAAAATAATTACAGTTCTCTGAAAAGCATAGAATCATGAAAACTATTTGGGATTCATAGCACTCAGTAATATATGCACATGCTCTCTGATCTGTCACTAAGCTTTAAATATCCACAGACGTAAGATGTGTACAACTAAAGTTTGATTTTGTATTATACTTTAGTCATTTAATATAAATTTTGTACAATCTGTTAAAAGCTAAGGATGCTATTCATTTTTCATTTGGGTACTTATAAGGCATTTCATTGTTGAAATAATATTGCCTCATGTGCTACAGTTTGGAATTTCCTTTCAGAACGTACACACCCTGATTTGTGTGATTTCCATTCTATGATTTCCAAATGAATTTGAAGTTAAATATACAAGGTCAGATGTTTACTTGGTATTTCCTATTGAGAAAATAAAGAACCCAGAAGAAAAACATGGGTAGGAAAAAAATTCAACTATAAAAGCTAAATTTCACAGGACTAAAATATACACAAAGCAAACTAAAAACTTCATTTCAGTAGTTGACTGCATATTTTCAATGCTGACAGTCTGGCTTACTTTAAGTGCTGGTTCCTTCATGTGATAAAATCATCACGTCAGTAAATTATTGATAATTTCATTAGTCTTTTCTTTAATTGCTTGAAACTGCCATAAATACCTAGCAAGTGCTATTTTGTTTTCCTTTTCTTTTTCACTGTGTTCCTTCTGATCCATTAAAGACAGACTTGGAGATGAAACTTCAAATGCAATTTAGAGAGACGTGACACATTCTCCAACTAGGGGCCACCAAAATTATCTGACTTTTAGCAAGCAATGACCTACAACAGTGATGCAGAAGGACTCTGCCCAGCCCATTTTTCGACTCTGAGGAGAAAAACCGTGGCTTTCGGATGTCCTCAAGAACTGAGTCATTTAAATGGCTAAATTTTCCTGACTCCTGAGAGTGCCTCTGAGGTTGGGAAATGTACTGGACTGAAATACTTGTCTACTCCTAAATAGAAATGATGAGTGTAATCGCCCTTTCTCAGAGGCCTGGAGTGACCAGGGTGAGCTATTTTGGTGTTTTTTTGTTTTGGTTTTTTTTTTTGGTGGCAAGTTGTTAGGAAACTACCTTGGCAGAGGGAAAAATAACTGGGTTTAGAGTCAGAAGCCATGGGTGACTTTCCAGCTGTGTCTTTTCTGTGGATGCTTTGTCTAGAAAAATAAGGTTGGTAACTATTGACCTCTGTGAGCACACAGCTCCTGTGTGCACAATGAAAAGCAGAGTATGGCCTCCACCGTCACACTGCGACACTGTGCACACCGAACCCTTCAGGGTCCGATGTAGGTGCTCTGGGTGGGCTGGCGTGGGTTGTGATGAGCTCATGCCAGGATGGAATAGCTCGGTCT